AACTTTCTTTGCGGAAGCCATCCATGAATTACCTAACAAATGGCTGAAGGTCATTCAAAATGATGGAGATTTTTTTTTTATTTAAGGCATTTTAAACCATTCGGTTTACTCCGCCATCTATCCTCTACCTAACCTTGCGGCTGTGGCCGACTTGCCACACTGTACCGCATTTGCTCCCGCGAGAGAGACGAAGGAAACCACAAAAAACCTCCGTCGGTACAGTCGATTCCTCTATTAGGAACCTCTCGCTCGTCCAGAGCCGAGGTGAGACGGACGCATAACCTCATAAGAGCCAATGCTGGATCTTCAAATTTTGTTTATTTAAATTCTCAATAATTAATACCGGTTGAAAGGTCAAGATTGTCATCTAAATTTTTTAAATATTTCTCGCTATTACAGGAAAAAAAATTGAATTTCTGTTGATTTATTAAACATTTTCACTTGGCACCCTTAAGACCAAGAAGGTCAAACATGACAAGGATCATACCTCGCAATGTTCACGCCTCGCGAGCGCGAAAAGTCGTAAAAGTGTTTCATTGCAATGGTCAGAGGTCACAAGAGGTCATACCTCACAAGAATCGGGCCTCGGAAGGGTTAAACGGTCACAAGAGTCTAATAATAGAGGCAGTTAAGAGAATTTTCAGAGTCAAACGATCACGAGGGCCAACGGGGAGCGCTAGGGAGGATAATCACAAGGAACGATCATAAATCTAGCAAAAGAATCAGACGGTTTTATTGTTTCACCTTTGCAATCATTCGACTCTTGTGATTATGCTGTCTTTCTCTCGAATTTGACCCTGCGGCTTGTTCTGTCTGCCTCTCCCGGTTTACCCTTATAGTCGTTTAAACCGCGCGATTATCCTGTTGGCTTCTACTGTTTGACATTTGCGAGTTAAGATCCTTGTGACGTTTGACCTTCACTTGGCGCAAACTTATGAGATATGTTCCTTGTGACGTTCAACTTTGCACGATGTATGTGACCTTCGCGAGGTATAACCCTTGCAGGTATAACTCTTGAAACATTTGACCCATCTAAGACTCGCCTTTAAGATTTTAAAATGCAAACCGAGTGCTGCCACTAGAGATTTCTGTGGTAAATTACTATTCTCTAACTGGTGGTAAATCTAGCAAAAGAATCAGACGGTTTTATTGTTTCACCTTTGCAATCATTCGACTCTTGTGATTATGCTGTCTTTCTCTCGAATTTGACCCTGCGGCTTGTTCTGTCTGCCTCTCCCGGTTTACCCTTATAGTCGTTTAAACCGCGCGATTATCCTGTTGGCTTCTACTGTTGACTACCTTTTACTTGGTCAACTTTCCCTATTTGGCAACCCTGCCCTGAAAACCCATCATAGATGGGTATAGATTGCAACCAACGAGAAGACCAAAAAATATCCAAGTCTCTTGTCCAACTCTTGTTTCCGTGAGTATCGTCTCGGTATCGTCTCGAAAATTCTGGACGTGGTATCGTCTCGGTATTAGTTCATAAAACCGAGACGAGACCGAAATTGGTCTGGGTATCGTGGGCAGCCCTAATTGTGAAGAACATAAAAAAAGCCGATATATTATTGACCTTCCAGATATGCTCCTTGCAACAAAATTGGATGAGAATGAAAATATTATTGACTATGACATATTGTTCTCCTCAAACACGTGTTTGTAACAACCTCTTTGAGATCAATACCAACAATTTTGCAGCACACTTGCACCCACAATTACCTCGTTCTTGTTGCCATGAATTTATTTACGCTCAATATTCTAATCGAGAAAATTTTCCTGTTACTGAGATATTTAACAAAGCAATGGATGAAATGATAAGGATTATAACGTCATACATCGTAAAATCAATTCACTTGGAACAATTCTCCAGTATTCGGAGGTGAAACTAGGAGAGAATTTCCACTTCATTGACTGTGATCATGTAGAGACTGTTGTAAAAATTGTGGTAGTTAATTTTATTGAAGAAACCATCAAAGAATATTTCAAATACATTAAAATACTTTGTAAGAAAGAAAGGATTGACGAGGACATTGAAAATTCTTTAGTGAAGCAGGCTGTGAAAATCGTTAATAGACGTTCTGTGCATAGAAAACAAATAGAAAAAGAATAAATTTCAGAGAAAATTTTATAAAAAATATTAAATTAATATATGAGAATATAAGATACGGATATAACTCTGTTAACGTGGATTTTTTTTTCTCATTTGTAATTTTTTTTGGTGGAAAAAAAATGTGATTTCTCCTCAACTTTCAAAATACGGGTTATTTTCCCTATATAATCTATAATTTTTCATTTCATGCAAAGCAATACCTTATTCACATACTTTACTCGCGGGATTTTTTCAAACAATTCTAAGATATATTGCAAACAATGAATTGGACTTTTATAGTGGGCATTTTCCCCCATTTGTCAAAATTTATTCTCAAACCTGAAAAATCCGTACCTCGTCTAATGTTTGACCGTGATAAAAGACCCCCGAAATAAAAGTATTCGATTCTCCACTTTGTTCAAAAGGTTTACAACTTAATCCCTTTCGCCGAAACTCGTCGGCGCATATAAAATTTAATCCTTTCCATCTGCAGCATTATTCTGGGAAACTTGGTGTGAAAAATATATCAAAATAATTTTCATTTCAACCTAATGATGTATATGCTATGTTTTGTTGAGTGCTCATATACTATGAGATTCAATTATTCGATCGGAAAAGAACCGCTGAGTTGCTACCCCCACATTTTCATATCCCCCTCTCCGAACCGCACTGCGACGGCAGTGCTCATGGTAGAGAACAAAGGCAAAACTTGGCCACAGCTTTGCCCCTTTGAGTTCTTGGCCCCTGCTCAGGTTTATGCTCTTTGAGTAGTACTATATGATGGCAGTTATATACGGGTTTTCTTGTTAAAAGGTGTAATCGCACAGGGATGAGTCATATGATACATGATAGATTTCTGAAACCCCTGAGTAGAGATGTCCTATCGGTAATGTGGAACAAATAAAAATCGTTTGGGTTGGAGTGTCAGTTGATAGGTATGCAAAAGGGGCCGTTGTACAGGTAGGGTTGTAAAAAAAATTTCTTTTCGTCACTGAGGCCCGAAAAATGGCGCTTACGGGGGCTGTGTTGAGAGGGGGTAAATGGCGTTTAGCATACCAGGTCTGTAAAACGAGGTACAGATATGGTAAGTGAGACTTACCAGTCCTTGGTCCGAAAATTCATACAGTTTCTAGATGAGTAACCCACAAAACATTCGTAGGAATACAACATGAAGTGAGCCATTACAACGGTCGCTTACATGAAAACTCGGCGGATCGTACAATCCACTGAGATGCGCCACCGCCACTGCCGATGGTCTCAATAGTAGTTATTTGCTAGGGAGTAAGTCGCCGTATTGGGGTTATATGGTCATACCGCATCGACTGCATCTTATTTCGAATAGATTATATATATTTTTGAATGTTCTTGACAGAATTTAGAATGTTCTTGACAGGCGGAGTTTTTTTGTTCAATGTTTTTGGTCGACAGAAAAGAAAAATGAAATTAAAAAAAATAGCAGTTTATTTTTGGAGCAATAAATAATCCCCCACCCCTTCCGTTGCCATTTAGCTTGACGGTGAGTCTTTTCCGCTAGTTTGAACGAATTTTCCTTGAAAAATTTGGGGGAGTAGGGGGTGGGATTGTTCAACGAGGATTCTCAATGTACGACCCCCCCCCTCAATCCGCCGAATTTTTGAAAAAACTCGCTATAGTTTCCGAGATATTCTTGAAAAACTCACAGGCAATTTCGATTTTTGTCTACTTTGTCATATAAGTATTTTTTTTTATTTTGTCATTTATTTTTTCTTCAGTGGGCTTCGCCCCCCCCCAACCTCCCCGCCGGGGCCTGCGGCCCCTGGACCCCGCTTCTGCGCCTCCACCCCACCCCCTCCCCTTAATCGGGCCTTCGTGACAAAAAATAGTATATGTCATACGGACCGTGACGTCGGTTTGCGATTCGTGTGAGTTAGCAGCACGAGGGGTCGGTAAGACAGGACTCGGCTCGCCTTCGGCGAGCCTCGTCACTGCCTTACCGACCCCTCTTGCTGCTAACTTCACACTCATCGAAAACCTCCGTCTACGGTCCTAATGACACAATATACTATCTCGTATACCCTTTCGGGGCCTTACGATTTAGTCCCTTCCCACCCCTCCAACCTACCGTACTGCATTCGAAGAAGGACAAGGGCAAACCTCAATGGAGGGAAAAACATGCCCTGGAAGACTATTCTCCAAGGCCTCAGAAATGTTTCCGAGCTCGCAAGTGTCAATTCTACCTTCTAATCACAGGTGCCACCGTCGTTGGTATAGGTAGACTTGTATTCGGTAGGTTTATTTGTCGACAGGCCTATAAAAGCTGCAGTTGTATAGTTGCCATCTTGCAAGGCATTCACGTGTTATTCAGGTTGTGTTATTGAGGTTGTAGTGTAGTGCACTACCTGGGCGCGCTCAGTGCGTTTCCGGCAACGCCGCGTAACGGAAGATTTCATTTTACATGGAAAAAAATCGTTTATTTATGAGAAATAATTTATTTCTCTTGGGAGTGGCGATTCTTGTTTTTTTTTCAATTACTATAATGTTTTGGACGTTTCCAATGACAAACTCAATTTTTTTCATCGTTTCGCTTAATTATTCAATGGTAGTGACCAAACTAGGATTAAACAAATATTTAACTCATCAACGATGACATCAGTTTGATAAAGAATGCAACAAAAACGATTAATGATTGTAAAAAATCTATAACTTTGATCTTTTACATATTTATTAAGTTTCACTTCCAAATCACGGAAACAACTCATTGCTAAACATAGAATAATCTAAGGGTAAATATTCAAAATCTAAATACGGAAGTTATACGTCAAAACTATTCTCAATATCGTCGAACAATGTAAAAAAATTGAGATGTGTGAACGGCATTCAACATTCCATTATTATTGAGCAATAATTTCGTTTTATGGTATGCAGGACTCACTTTATCTGATCTGAAGCGCGGAAATAAACGTCGTCGGGTGCATCCATCCACGAGATGACCTGTTTACGGGCATTGCTTCTTGACATTGGTACCCCATGAGGGAACGAATGGGGATGTACTGCTCTACCATTCAGTGGTGGTGCTAGAGGCACGGTTGCCGGTGATACATGATCCATTGAGTGTTTTGGATGTAACTGTTGAGAGTGATGGGCGCGTTTTGCTGGAGGACCTTGAAGCCCTGCACTCAGGGCAATGCCTACGAAAAAATAACAAAAATTGATTTTTGATTCAATCAGAGTCAGTAGTGAATTCATGAAGAACGAACAGACCAGTCCAAAACAAACTTGCAAATTTTCTTATGAGCAGTTCCAAGAACGATATAGTTGAGAGGAAAATATAAAAAACTGTGCTTTGTAAAGAATTGAACTTCCTAGGTTTTCTAACATTGCTAGATGAATTCAATAGTGGCACTATATAGATAAAAAATTATTGGGTACTAACAATCGATTGATCCGGAACGAAGTTACAGATGCATTTCCAAACATGGTGAGCAGCCCACTTATGGGCGCTTAAGGCTATTCAGAGATTCACACAATAATGAAAAAATAAACGATTGGAAAAAATACTAAAGAAATTTTTTTTTAAATGCTTCTAAATTTAGTGAATTTGCAGGAAAAAAATTACAAATGAAGAATTATCGAGAAAAATAAATAATTCCATAGGAGTCCAAAAACTTCAATACGGAACGCTTTTACTGAACGTGACAGATTCTTCATCAATCTAGCCACCAATTTTTTTTTGTCATTCCGGCCGTGAGGCAGCGCTTCACGGACGCTCCGCTCTGCGCCCGTGAATCTCTGCCTACGGCCGTCATGACAAAATAGTATATTTCGTCATTAGGCCGAAAAAAACTTTTCTGGCGAATATGAGGTTTGCAGCACGAGCCGAAGGCGAGGGCTGCAATCATATTCGTCCGCTCCGCTTCGCTCCGCATCCGTGAATCTCTGCCTACGACCGTCGTGACAAAAAATACTATTCGTCATACGGCCAAAAAAAACTTTTCTAGCCCAGATGATTGCAGCCCTCGCCTTCGGCTCGGGCTGTAAACTCATATTCGTCAGAAAAGTTTTTTTCGGCCTAGTGACGAAATATACTATTTATAGCGTGCGAAAAATCTAAGAAAAATCTGTACTATTGTATCCATTGAACGTACTCTCGGTGAATTTTATCAGATTTTTTTAAGCATTCATGGTGGATATGAGTGTATCCGATGGAATTTGGAAAAAAATTAAATATATTGGAAAGTTGACCGCCGAGAAAAACCAATTTGGGATAAAAAATTCCGGTTTTATCTGAATTTTTCAAATGAATTTTTAATTGTAGGAAAAAAGCGGGTGTTTAAACTCTTAAGTATTCTAAAAATTTCATTCTCACGTAGAAGAAAACGAAGCAAAGTGAAATGGCGAGACAAAGCGAAACGCGGGACAAAGTAGAATGGTAGCAAAAAACCAATGTAGAGCGAAATTCAGATTTTTTTTCTATCTCTATCAATCGAAAAAATGGGTAGGGTTCAACCTTTCTAAGGGTCAAACGGCCTTGATGCTAGGCGGAATTATAAGAAGGGTCAAAAGTTTTTAAGAGGCAATAGAACTTACCATCGGAGTAAAAATTGGATTCCAAGTTTTTTTGTTATCAAACGACTATTTAGCAAAACCCAAATTCTTATATCATCAATAATATTGGTATCTATAGTGTAAGAATTTGTATTTTGCTGAATAATGGTCTGATGAAAAAACTTGGAATCCAGTTTCTACTCCGATGGTAAGTTCCACAGCCTCTTAAAGGCTTAACGGCAGAGGAAAGTGGAGTAATCAGAAAGGTCAAATGACCGTTTGGGAGAAACAAATTGGTTGATTACTGCCCTCAACTCTTCCATTTAACCATTCACTGAGAAAATTTTCAGTTCCCAGTAGAAATCTATAAATTTCATAACTAACGTACTGAGGTCCAGGAAACAAATGTTGATGGATGAAAGTGAAATTTTCACTTATTTGAAAAGAATTTTTTCTCTAAAAATCATAAAAGGGTTGTAATTCTCAGACATTTTAACTGAATTGTAGTAAAATTATTTGATATAATTATAATTACAATTTGAATTACAGTAAATTTGCACTTGATCTTGGTTCTTGAGGTGAAAACATTTGAGTTCCTGAGATAAACCATTACGATTATTGGTGGTATCAGAATCTAGGCAACCCCCGGATTCCTCCATCACGAATCGTCATAAATTACACCCCCCCCCCCCCC